GCTTTGAGTATTTTTGCCTTTATTTCATACCACCGTGTTCAATTACTGCGCCCAACGGTTTTTTGCTCATTCTGTCTCATTTACGTTACTCATTGCTTAAACATCCAGAAAAATGGGATAATTTATTCCGAGGTTTAGGGCCGCTGTTTTCGTCTAACTTGGAAATCGCCTAAACGTGGTGACGGTGTCCATTGGGAAGTTTAAACTATGTTATTTGGCGAGATTAGTATGTTGTTTGGGGTCGAATGCAAATATCCCTTTATCGGCTACTTAAATATATATTAAATTTGTTAAACATAAATCTTATTTATAAATTTGGAGTCCTTATATTAAATTACTGGACTCAATGCTTTACATTGTTATACTAGGATATTTGTGGAAAGTGTACTTTGTTGAACGAATAATTTATTTTCTAGAATGGAAAAGAGTTTCTACACATTCTACCTTTGTACGGCTGTACGAAAATTCTTCTTCTTCCTTGATCCTCTTCGTGCTGGACGCATTCGCATAAGTGATATCTTGGCAAGTGGTTTTCTCGATTCTCTTTTGGAGCTACGAGAGTCTCAAATCGCAGAGACCCAACTTGTCGCCAATTGGTTTAGCTTTCAGTCGGCTATGCGCGTCTATGGTAGTTACCTTCAGTTGGATGAAAATAAAAATGGGCTTCTTAGCAAAAATGAGCTTTCCAAGTAAGTCTACATCTTTTAACCGTAAAGTCCTATCTGATTTAAGGGTTTGACTTTATTTTTTATCTCGTTGCACAGAGCCTTAGTTTAACAGGATTTGGCTAGTGATAATTTAATGTAAATCAATGCATATATAAAGAATAGCATATCGTTCAGTGATAGCTCAATTAGATAATAAAAATTAAACGATGGAATAAATAGCACAAGTATATATTGGGACCTTAAAAGTCTATAATTCCATTATCACTTCTGGCTTTAAACTGATGATAATGTTATTTTTGGATACAGTGATTTAAAACGCCTACATCTTTCATTAATTTAAAGTCAAATACTAATTCCCTTTATTTAATATCTCACTCTAGCAATGAGAATTTAAGCCATTCTTGATCAAAAAATATAATGAATGTACTAGTAA